CCCTAACCTCCCACCCCCCGATTCCCCTCAGAGCCCCCCCGCCCCCCACAGCTCCCGTTTCCCCTCACACCCCGCTCGGTGCCGCACCTTGCACGCAGCAGGGCTGAGCGGGAAGGTCTCGCAGTAGTTGTGACGGGTCCAATCCAACGAGTCCTTCAGCTCAGGCCGGGCGCTGCGCTTCGCCTCGCGGATCCGTTTCTTGCTCTTGTGATTCATGGCGGCGTTGAGGACCCGCCGCTCCCGACCCACGTCCCACTCCCCGGCCCCGCCGCACCTTCGAGAAATTTCACCCCCTTGCCGCCGCCGCCGCCGCAGCCCCGCCCCCGCCGCGCTCCCATTGGCGCTCCGCCCGGCCGCCTTCCGCCGCGCCGTGCCCGCCTCCCGGCGCCGATTGGACGAAGCGGGGAAGCGGCGCGGCCGCCATGTTGGGAAGGGCGGCGCGGCGGCTTGCGGAGACCCGGCGCGGACACGGCGTGAGGCACCGAGAGGTTCCCGGAGGGCCCCGCGGCGCTCCGCGTGACGTCACGACGGCAGAAAGCTCTGATTGGCCGTCGGGACCTGGCGCCACACGCTGCCGCCTGCGATTGGCCGCCTGCGAGGCGCGGGCATGGGGGAGCCGCGGCGCGCCGTGCGGCGGTACCGCTTCGTGGGGGACGCGGCGGGAGGAGAGGAGCGCGCGGTGCTGGCGCTGCGCGTCCCCGAGGTACGGCCCGGGGGTGGGGGGGTAGAGAGCACCTGGACACGGAGTCACAGCAGCACAGCCGTGTGTTTCAGGTGCTGGACCCGCAGTATGGCATGTACGCGTGGCCCTGCGCCGTGGTGCTGGCTCAGTACGTGTGGTTTCACAGGAGAACCCTGCCCGGCCGCAGAGTGCTGGAGGTAACGCGCTCGCTAATCGCTATCCCAGCCAGCTCGTCGGTTCCCTATCACATCCCAGCCCTTCTTGCTCCAGCGCAGCTTGGGCAGAGGTAGCAGGGAACTGCAGGCTCACACAAACACACATAAAAACACGTTCTGCACTTCACACACCGCTTCTGCTTCAGGGTCCCCCTCATAGAAACAGCCCTGCTTCACTAAGCTCAGACATCTGCACATCTCATCCACCCTTCCCTGCAGAACTCCTTCTTCCAGCTCTTGGATGCACCTCCCCAACCCCCGGCTCTCAGGCTGCAGCACCCTCACATCCCCACCCTCTGCATCCACAGCTCCCTTCTGTCCTTTCAGATCGGTGCAGGTGTCAGCCTACCCGGAATAGTGGCTGCCAAGTGCGGCGCTCAGGTGACGCTGTCAGATAGCGAGCAGCTGCCTCAGTGCCTGGAAATCTCCCAGCAGAGCTGCCTGATGAACCGCCTACCCCACGTACCGGTTATAGGCATCACCTGGGGCCGTGTATCTCCAGAGCTGCTCTCTCTCGCTCCTGTAGACATCATTTTAGGATCCGATGTCTTTTTTGACCCAAAAGGTACGTTAAACCTTTCAGGTACCTCTGACTGGAGACAGACTCAATTTACTAAGCTTTCTTGTAGCGATAGTTCCTGAGCTTGTTATTCCTGCAGTAATTCCAGTATCAAGCTATCATACAAATACTACTGTAGGGTAAGGGAATAGAAGTGGAGCCGCTAGCTGGCTGCTTAAGGCCATGCTGTGGAGTCTCTCCCACAGCTGCAGCAATTCTCATGTTAATTTTCAACTACCATTTGATAGCAGCAGGCATATTTAAATGTATTTAGAACCTAGAAACTACGGCTGCCCAAATCTCCTCTCCTCTATGCAGATTTTGAAGATATTTTAACTACAGTTTACTTCTTACTGGAAAAGAATCCACATGCTCAGTTCTGGACCACTTACCAAGTCCGAAGGTAAGTTTTTTTTCCCCCCACACATGTAAGACTCAGGTATTAAATTCTGCTTATATTTAAGAATGTTAACTTCTCAGACACAAACATACTGATTCCTAAGCTACTCTCAAGATTGTGAATCAGGCTGATAGTAGCCAATTCTAGGAATATCAGGCCAGAACAGCTAACCACAGATTTACTGTGGACCAGAGAGCCATTACAAGCTCAAACCTTTTGCAGAATGTCATCTATAAGTTCACTGAGTCTCTGCTGAATCACTGCATGAGTTACAAACCTGGATTGCATTTTCACACACTGATATTTCTTCCCCTCAGTGCTGACTGGTCTATCGAAGCTCTGCTCTACAAATGGAAACTGAAGAGCATCCACATTCCATTACATTCGTTCAGTGCAGACAAAGAACACTTGGCCAGCTCTCCTCTACCCAGCAGACATACCATTGAAATGATCATCATCTCACTAGCAACATCAGTTGGTACTTAAGTTTATTCCACTTGTTGGTTCCATTACAAGATTATATTCAACTTTAGCATGGATCTGCAGGAAACAGTCTGATCTACAGCAAACCTCAAATGTATGCTTTGGAAAGCAGATCCTCATCAGCAGTACTTCCTCAAACATGCATTGTAAAAATAAATCTGTTTATTTGTGTAGCTGGCTTTTGAGAAATTTGTTCTCCTTTCCAAAGACCAAGTTATGTTTCAGAGACCCGTTTCCATTATATAGCCACTCCACAACATACCTTAACAACCTGACCACCCACAAGATCCAACTTAAACTCACAACTTCAGCTATGAAGAAAAGTTACCAAACTCTTTTAAAGATAAATGTATCCCTTAACATTGGTTTCCTAGGACTGAAGCCCTTCCCCTTAAGATTCTTATACAAAATCCAGCCCCTGTAATTGAATCTATGCAGACTGCTGCTAGGCACGCAGTCCTAGAACACAGAAACTTCTCAGTTTGTAGAAAAGCACTTTTAATCCCTGGTCAAGCCAGACTGCAAGTATTCAGATGTTTCCATTTCCATTTAACATACATGCATAACATTAACAAGGCATTACAATAACCCTTGACATGTGATGATTGACATTACAATCCATTTGGTATAAAAAAAACAAATCAAGAAAAGAATGATCACTAAGATGAGCTACCATCAAGCAGCAGCCTGTTGAATCAAGACAAGCACACAGCAAATGCAATTAGTACTGCTCAGTGTGTATCCTCCATAACGTCCAACAGACCCCATTTGGTGTTTGGGGCCTGCTGTGCAATACCATCATACAGCATTTGGGTTAGTCACAATACCAGCAATTCTGCCCAGCAATTTCAAAGCAACCCCAGTGGATAAAATTAAGAAGCAGTAGAATGCATTCTGTTACTATATAGAAGTTAAACATTGACAGTATAATTGCAGAAATCTTTTCAAGCTAAAAATAAGCTGACTCAGACATTAAGTTGAGAAAAGTTAACACAGAAAAAATGTTTAATATTAACTACAGAGACAGTGGGTATAGTACAAGATGTCTTAAGCAAAAGATACACCAATCAGTACTTACAGAGGAATGAACCATTTCTTTCTTAACATTACATTTCTCAAATATAAGTTCATATATGCATGTTGGCAAGATTTACCATTCTGGAAAAAATAAGGTGTGTATACCATCAGCTAGATGTGCTCACTGTATGCTCCGTTATTTTTATGCAAGGCCCGGGTGATTGGAAGTGCAGTTGTCAGGCATTTTAATTAACTGGACAGCCATTTGTTTCTGCACGACAAGGCATCGTTACACAGGAGCAATCAGGAGAAAACAGGAAACAGCCAAGCACTCTGCACTGCAACACGCCACCTTAACAGCTAACCAGCATTACTCAACTGCTACACAACTGCGCCTAGTGCACAAAAATACATAAGAGAAGAGATTAGAATTGAGTCTGATAAAAACAATCCTTTCAAATATCAACTGTCACCTGAAAAGATTTCTACCAATTTGAAGATACTATTTCAATTCAAAGTAAAAGAACAAAAAAAGCATTTACAGTAAATTTCAAATTGAAATATTTTTTTTCCTTCAGAAATTTAAGGAATAATGAAATTGAGAGTACTTTTTGACAGCTATTCAGCATAAAGAGCTGCACACTTCCTCAGTATGAAACTGGAGGCAGCGCGTTACCATCCGTTCAATTTCAAATGAAAGTCAGCACTATATAAACAGAAATGAAGTTTTACCTCAAATATCCAAGCCAATAATGAAATCGGTAGTCGTTCACTTCACTAAATTACAAGAAATTTGAATAACAGCAACAAAATGGCACATAAAATGTAAAATCTGCCACTTGAGGCGCAACTTAAACAAGTAAAAAGTTAGACAAAATGTTACAAAATAACCTTTTCGACAGCTGGTTGCTCATGCCAGGGGTCTCTCCAAGGACTGTCGACTCAAGCGATCCTTTCCCCCCACAGGCGTCCTTTATGTGGATTCTCATTTATCTGATGCATCTAGATTTGAAGAGAGAGAAATTCAGCTAGCTTTCTCCTTCGTCTCTTCTCCGCTGTGTGGATGACTTCAGGTATACTGCTAGTTGTGTTTCAACTGGCTTTGCCTAATTTCTTAACAGCTCTGGGCATTACCATGGTGTTCCACCTCCCCCCCCGTGAGTTATTTTAATTCAGAGGCCAAATGTAAGCTTCTGTGAAAGGATTTTGTTACAAAAAATAGACATCAGGCTGTCCATCAAACCACTTTAACTTGAATCCAGCCTGTTTTGCAATCAATTACCAAAAGTTAAATATAAGTTGTAAAACTAGACTTCATGTGAAAGACTTAACTAAACTAATTAACGTTCAAACCAAAGTTGCTAGTTTCGCTACAATTATCTAACTGCAGAGCTAGCTTAGGCCCTTTCCTTTTAAAAAAGAGGACCAAACAGTTTGAATGGGTTAAAGACACACTATCCTTTCCCCACCCAGTGTTATCCTTAGGAGCCTCTTCAAGTTGATGACTTGAGGAAAAACTAGTTTCCGTCGTTTTTTCATTGCAAGGAATTTGCCACTTTGCTACAACAGTTACCTCCAGTCAGTACAGGCCACTGAACCGATCTTCCATTCCATTATAAAAGGATAGTGTATCTTTAACATTTAAAGACAAACCTGCTCCAATACACGCCCACAGAAACTGGTCCCTGGAGGATCAGCCAAATCAGTTAAAATCTGCAATACTGGCCAATATTCTTTTAGCAAACAGGAGACCGCAGCTTTAAAGGGGAAAATGCAGATGTTGGATAAATACAGTAAGAAATAGTCATTTTCATCATAGGTTGCGTCTCATACAATATTTTATCAAAACCAAGCCATTAATCTCTCAACAAAACATGAAAATTTTCTGTGCAGAAAGCACTTTGGTATTAATTTCCCTAAACCAATAACCAAAAAAGCACTGCTCAAGAAAAAGAAAAACAACAAACAGCTAACAACGTGCCCCACTAGGATCCACTCGGTTCGAACTATTAATACTACCAACTACCCAACACCCCACTTAAGTGCTACAATAAAGTAACATGCAAAGTGTGCTGATCCCGAGGTACGTTACCATTCTCCTAGGAGGACACAGCTCCTTCCTCTTCCGGAGACTTGGGAGGGCTCTTAGACCTGGATCTGGAGTTGGATTCCCTCTTTGAAGCTGGTGGAGGGCTCCTAGATCTGGACCGGGATCTTGACCTGGACCGAGATCTGGAGACAGACGAGGACTTTGACTTGGATCTCCTGGCTGATCTGGACTTGGAGGTGGAGCGGGAGCGGGAACGTGTGCGAGAGCGAGATTTGGAGCGGCTGTAACGAGATCGGCTGCGGGACCGAGAGCGGCTCCTGCTTCTCGATCGGCTGCGGCGGCGCCTCCTAGGGCTACAACGAGAGGAGCCGGAGGAAAAAAAAAAACAACGTTAGAATGGAACGCAGGCTGCGCAACGGTCCGCGCTACTGGTCAGCGCTGCTACTACTCGGGGACGGGGCGGGAGGAACGGCCCCACGGGGGCGAGAAAATGAGCGTTCAGAGGGCGCCATTGTTCAGAGCGAGTGGCCGGGGACTAAAGCCGCTGCGGGGCACCCCACGTGCTTCCGCGGCTCCCTCCCCATCCAGAAACTCCTTTGGAAAGCGAAGAAGTACCGAGCGGCTGCGCCGTGCGAGCGGAGCCCGGCCCTTTTCTCCCCTCCGGCCACTCACCTGCGGCTGCGGCGGCCGTAACCGCTGCTCCCGTAGCGGCGGGGCGGAGGGCCGCGGCGGCTGTGGTGCGAGTCCGGGGGGCGGCCGTAACGGGCCATTTGCACGCGGAGCTCGCGGCCATCCAGCACGGCCCCGTCCATCGCGTCCATCGCGTCCTCGGCGTCGCGTTTGTCGTGGAAACGGACGAAAGCGAAGCCACGGCTCTCCTTGGTGTAGCGGTCCCGGGGGATGTAGACGTCGCCCACACGGCCGTATTTCTCGAAAACCCTCCGGAGAGTGTCCGGGGACGTCCGGTAGGTCAGGTTGTCCACCTTGAGGGACGTCATGCCCTCCACATCTGGCGGAGGGCGCCCGTAGCTCATGGCGGGCTGTAGCCCCCCGAGGGGCGGCGGCGGCTGAGGAGAAGAAACCCGAGGGAAGGGAGGAGAATTTGGAGGCGGCGCGGCCCGGAGCGGGAAGCGCCTCACACGGGAGGAGGAGCGCCGGAGCGGCGGCCGCGCAGAGTCCAGAAAGGAGGAAAGCTACAGGGCATAGGGAAAAGCCGCAGGGTCCTCGGCGGGGAGGGAAGGAGCAAGCACCCACCTTCGGGCTCTGAGAAAAGGACGAGGCCTAAGGCCGCAACGGAGACGCAGCGCAAGGACAACCACCCCGCCCGCGGCCGCGAGAAAATGAGCGGGGCGCCGCCCGCGCGCGCCTACTTAACGCCACAAAATGGCCGCCGCTACCCCGGAAGTGAAAGCGCCGCTGGCGCGCGTGGTGGAACGCAAACCGGAAGCGACCGAGCAGCTTTTAGCACTTTTTTTTTTTTTTTTTTTTTTAAAACTCCTGACCTCGGTTCCCTGAGGCAGCCCGGCAAGTAGCGGGGAAAGTAGGTGTCTAAATTAACGGCGTGTACGCGTTTAAAAGTGACAATTGAGGCGGATCTGCGGTGACCCGGAAGCAATCGGCAAAGGCAAATTTTGAACATGTGTTATAAAGGGGAAAAAAAAAAAGAAAAAGAAAAAAGAAACAAGTCGAGTTGTGGTGAATGTTGTGGTGGAGGGGAAGGATGAGCTGGAAACCCTACGGGGTGAAGAAAAAAATAAGAAAATCGTTGTGAAGGAAAAGCCCCTGCGCGGGAGGAGGCGGCCTAAAATGGCGGATACGGGGGGGGGGGGGGCGGGGCTGCTGCGGCGCTGCGCGGGAGCTTCTCTGCCTTGGGCGCAGCCGCAGTGCTTAATTCTTACCTCTGAGCTGTGGTAAATGTTTCTATCCTGTCTGTTCTGTAAGCTGTTTTTAAAGGATAGGAATGAAGAAAGCTGTTTTAGTATGAAGGGGGGAGAAAAAGGCTGAGAAAGCAAGTTCAATAAGTGATGATTTGGATACAGACCCAGAGGCAACAAGTTGTTTCCTATAGAAAAGATTTAGGAAATCAAATAACCTGGGATTGGCTTTCATGTCTGTATTGATTGGCGTTTTATTGTTGTTTTTTTTTTTTTCCTGTTCAGAGAGTTTGGCTTCATTGCTTTCTGATTCCTCTGCCGAAATGCTTTCACTGATGAGGAATTTAAAGTCCGTATCTTTACAGTGATTTCTTTAAAATGACTGAGGTGGTTCCCTGTGTCCCTCAGTTGCCTGAAGGGCAATCCCTTTGGTGTAAGCTGCTGTCAGCAGAACGATCCCCACACAGCAGTGAGTGGGACTCAACGGCTGTGGGCAGGGAAACATAAGGTCTGTTTGTTTAGCGATGCCTTAAAGTAAAAATTAGATTTAAAAATTCAATCTAATTTTAAATACTTAATATAGGAAGGGAGCTTCACTGACATTAAAAGCAACACCTTGATATTGCTGTTTGGTCTTTGTAAAATAGCCTCTGTATGGTCAAGCTGACTTTCTTCCACAAGTAAAGAATAAAACTTTATGACTTGCCGTTTTCTTAAGTTCTGAATTTTCATGCATTCCTCTTTGTCTGGCAGTTCATGGCACTGGATTAGCAGAATGCTCCACTCCTGACTCAGGAGATGCAGAATATAGACAAGGTACTGACAGTGGCAAGCAGCCATTCCGTCCATATCAGGTGTGTGTTACCCTGTGTTAGTTTTGTCGACAGTTTGACAGAGGGTTTCAAATCAAAAATATGAATTGATCTTGAATGTATTACTGAAAACCACTGTAAAGCAGGATATTAGGAGCGAAACTTTACTAAAAGTGAATGTTTCTTGAGAGGAAGTAGTGGAATATTATACAGACCATTCCTTCTCCAGAGTCACTAAGATAAGGCAAAAGCACCGAGCAGAACTTCAGTGTTGGTGATACTGAGAAGTTTCTCTTTTGAGGAATTATTTGCCCTCCAGAGTGACCTTTGCTATGTAGGAATCCAACGAACTAGACATTTTTCTTAGATTAATGTTTCCAATTCTAAGGAGATGTCTGCACTTTCAAGTATAAAGAAGAAAGGGTACAGTGATAAAACTGCATTTCCCATAGTGCACGAGGGCTTTCTAAGCAGGATCAGCTGATCTGTATTGTGAAATGTTCCTTATTTCCTGTCCAGCATGCATGGAAATGACTTGTGTATGTTAATATCTCATCTTTCCTTTGTCAGGTGATTTACTGGCTTTTGACCAGAATTCTAGTCCATGGCAAGAAACTCAGCTGATTAACCATCTCGATGCTTGGAAAACTGCTTCTCTGGGTGGAATGAGATGTCATGGAGAAGTAACATACTGCTGTCTGCTCTCTTAACTTAATGGGAAAAGGTAGAAAGAATTTTGATCTTTACTTTTTGTATCTATCCACTTATTTTTCCAATGTACTGACTTTGCTGTGTTATTTAAACAAATCCTAGCAGCTAACAAGTAGCTCTCAGGAATCGTCATTTTTTAAGGGTTTTTTGTTGGTGGTGGTTTATTCTTTTTTTTTTTTTTCTTCTTATTTCTTTAAACAGGAGTTAAGTGGAAACTTTTAAAGGGAAATAGATTTTTTTCCAGACTGAAGCTGAGAACTTGGCAAAATAACCCACAAAATGTCTCCTGACTCAAAAAAACTTTTCAACGTACTTATTTTGGGAATCTCATTCATGTTTATATTCACTGCTTTCCAAACATGTGGAAATATTGCGGTAGGTGTGCATATCAAAACATTCCACAGCTATGTGACAGTTCTGTGCTTTGTCTAATGTGTGAGTTTGTAGTGAGATTTTTAATGTGCTTTGCAGCTTTTGACATTTTGTCTCCTTTCTTTTGGTTTAGCGTTAACTAGATTAAGTTGGTTAACAGGATGCTTAATCAGTTTATTTCCTTAAGGTATCATAGTTACGTATGTGACTGTCTGATTGCTTAGACAATGGAAAATTAAGTAATCCTATTAAATGTTAGAACTTCAATGCCTGTTTTGTTTCATTCCATATACAACAATTGATTTTTATTGTATCTTTCACATTCCTGTTTTTTTTTTGTATATAAGCCCTTTCAAAATGTCTGCCTAATATGTTATTATTAACCCCTAGTTAACCTAGGGGTTAACTAGAAACCTAGTTTCTGCTGGAGTTTCTTTCCTAATGCTATCTATCTTTCTGTTTTAACAAACTGAACATTGAAGGGGAGTGTGAGGTTGACACCTGACGAGCAGTCAGGCTCACACAGCTGCTAGAACTGCCAAGTCACCTTCTCTAACTTAGTTGCTGATATTACTTTTGATATCAGTGTTATGTCAACCTACATCTTGCTTCTCTGTTCTTGCACATTAAGAAGAATTCTTTCTGAGTTTGAACATCTAAATGTCCTTCTCTACACTGTAGAAGTAATTGCTTACAACAGTTATTGTTGTTAAATTATTATACAGCACAGTGATTAAATTCTGCTACGCAATGAATGTGCAGCACCTCACTGAATTGGGCCTAGTGATCGTGCAGTGATGTAATGTATTGTCATTAAAGTCATTAAAAGTGACTTTCAATCAGATCTGCCAGACAATCCAGCTAATTACATGGTCTCATGATCACTAAAGCTGATTCAAGGGGGAAAAAAAAGGAACAAGCTGTTAACGGAAAGACTGAAAGGATGGAAACTCTTAGCTGAAATTCAAGTACAGCTGAAGCCCAAGTTTGGATAAATTAAGAATACAGTGAATCTTCAGCTTGCTCTCCCTCACTGTTTAGATGAAGATAGTAATGTGTAGGTACCTTAGAGAAATGTTTTGTGAAACAGAAGTTTTGTGAAATACTGTAAGATCTGTGGTGAAATCAGGATATAATTCCCAAATCTTTATTACTGCTTCAGACAGATGTTTCCCTGCCTGCTATCTCCTTCATCTTCATTGTGGAGATATTGTCAGTTGTAATTAATGCTTTATGTAGAATCTATTAGTGATAATTTTTGATGTTTGGCACCAACTTCAATCTGTTACAAATGACTTCAAGATGTTCTAACAATATTGCACATGATTTCTCCTCACAGCAAACAGTTATTACAAATTTAAACAGCACAGATTTTCATGGCAGTGGCTACACAAGGTAACTCACACACATTTTCTTACTACTTTGCTCCTTGCAGGGTGAAGTTAGTTATAATTACCTCTGGTAGAGATATACTCTCAAGAGATTCTAGTGCTCTGCTGGCTTCACGATTTAATGGCATACTTAAAGCAGTTTAAATCATGGCTCTCACATTCATTCCTAATCTGAATTACTTGTTTCTAATTGAGCTACGTGATCGTTTTGTGTATGTTCTTTGTAAAACTAAAACTACCATTCAGGCATCACATTCTCAGCTTTTTATCTTAGTAAATTTAAAAAATGTGGAAATTTGTAAAAAAGACAGTAAACTGCTAAGGCCTTGGTTGTTTGCCCCATCTGCTTCTGTACCTTGGTGTAGTATATGGGTTGTTTGGATCAACTTGTAGGAAATACTGCAACATAGTTGGGAAAGAAGCAACCAGAAAGACAAGAAGAGAAGCAAGGTTTTCAGCTGTAAAATACCACTCTGAATGTTTATTGCACTGACTTGGCCAGACTCACCAAGTATGATCAGGGAGCTTTTGTAAACCAAATTGATCTGTCATATAAGAAAACCCAGATGCTGTTTTGAAAGGTTTACTGTCTTAATATAAACTAAAATTACAGCTACTACAAAATATATCTATACAATTTTTATGGTGCATTTGACAGAAGATGAAAAGCTCACTAATAGATGAAAGTGGTTTTGGTACATTGTGCTTTAGAAGTACTGGGCAGAAAATAGAGCAACTTGTTAAGGCAGTTTGACAAAACCCTGTCATAAATTAGAAGATATGCTGGCCTGCAATGGCTTGGGACTCAATTCAGCAGTGCAAGATACACTTGAGTGTTTCTGTATGGAGTAAAATGGTTGAAGGTAATTAACAACAGAAAGGAAGGAAATGTTTGAATATAAAAATGAGGCAGTTGCTTATGTATATTTTGATACTTTGGAATCAGCTGAGTCTTCTTAAACAATCTGATTTGTAACCTGCATTTAGTACTTCACTATCTTTGTTGTTTATTTATGTAGTATGTCCGTTATTTATGGAGTTTTCTCAGCATCAAACCTTATTTCACCTTCAGTGGTTGCACTAGTAGGACCTCAACTCTCCATGTTTATTAGTGGCATATTTTATAGGTAAGTATTATTTTTAATTTCTTTGAAGTATCTTTTTTTTTTTCCCACATGGAAGTGCAGTATCAAACACAAAATTGTACTGGCTAAGGAAAACAC